AGTCAGAAGGGAATGTCCTGTTGCTGGTCGGTGAGACGCTAGATGAAATGGGAGGCAGTCACTTCAATCTGGTGACTGGCAGTGAGTCTGGAATTGTTCCGCGTCTCAATCTTGAACAGGCTCCGCAAGTTTTCAGATCTGTGCATGACTGTATCCAGTCTGGATTGATTCGCAGTTGTCACGACCTGAGTGAAGGTGGCTTGGCTGTTGCTTTGGCTGAGATGGCTTTTGCTGGTGGCTTGGGTGTTGATGTCAAACTGGACAGCGAAGGTGAGGCTGCGACGGTTGCGCTCTTCTCAGAGAGCAATACGCGTTATGTCATTGAGGTTGAACCAGATCAACTTGACGCGGTGCAGCAGGCCTTTGCAAAGAACGGGGCTATAGCCCCCACACAATTGGGGACAGTGACATCGACGGGTCAGGTGCGGATTCAGGACAGCCAAGAGAACATGCTCATTGAAGAAGAGATTTCCCAATTGAAGGCAGTCTGGCAGCAACCACTGGCAACTTTTTGAAATAGCTTGTGAGTCGCCGACCGCTCCGCCGGTCGTGCGTCAACGTCATCTGAGCCAGCAAATATGAAGAGACATTTGTTCAAGGGGAGAGCGAAGTAATCCGTCGGTGAAATGGTGCGTTACGTTCTCGGTTATTTTTGAAGAATAGCCACTGATTTGATGCAGGGGGCATTTCGCTACCAACCTTCCTGGTGGATTACCGAACTCCACCACACCCTACTGATCTTGATGATTCGGCCTGAGCACCTTTAATCAGGTGGTGGTTAAGCAAGTGTGAAAATGGTTGGTTTGGGTTGGTCAAACAGACCTGTGTTCAGGTATGGATGAGCGCATCGGACTTGATGAATGTCAGCTGATATGACTGGCTGGGCACTACCTGATTGATCAGCGACGCGTTAAAATGCTCGCTGAACACGTCATTCATTGCACATTTTTTGAGAGGATGAGAGCACGTGATTATTGGAGTGACTCAGGAAACATTTCCCGGTGAACAGCGAGTGGCTCTGGTGCCGGCCTCGGTTTCTGCTTTAAAGAAGCTGGGAGCCGAAGTTCATGTTCAGAAAAATGCGGGCCTCGCAGCCGGTTTTCTCGATCAGGCTTATGTCGATGCAGGAGCGACGCTGGTTGACGATCGCAATTCGCTGATCCAAAGTAGTGATGTTCTCCTGCAGGTGCGAGCTGCTGTCGCGAACCCAACGACTGGCGATCAAGATCTGGATCAGCTGAAGGAAGGTCAAACACTGATCGCCCAGTGTGATCCACTTTCCGATACTGGCAAGATGCAGGAACTCGCCGGTAAGAAGCTGAACATCTTTGCTTTGGAACTGGTACCCCGAACGACGCGTGCCCAGAGCATGGACGTCCTTTCATCCATGGCAACCATCGCGGGGTATAAGGCTGTATTGCTGGCTGCAAATCATTCTCCACAGATGTTCCCAATGATGATGACAGCTGCGGGAACGCTGACTCCGGCTCGCGTCTTCGTTCTGGGAGCGGGAGTGGCGGGGCTACAGGCCATCGCAACAGCGAAACGTTTAGGTGCCGTGGTGAGTGCCTATGACGTTCGTTCAGCAGTCAAAGAACAGGTGGAAAGTCTCGGTGGGAAATTCGTTGAGATGGACCTGGACACTGCTGAAGGGCAGGGTGGTTACGCTCGTGAGATGGATGAAGAGTTCTACCGCAAACAGCGAGAACTGATGCTGAAAGTGATCGCTGACAGTGATGTCATCATCACCACAGCTGCCATTCCGGGGAAGAAAGCTCCGATTCTGGTGACGAAAGAGATGGTCGAAGCGATGCCTGCTGGAGGAGTGATCGTCGATCTGGCTGCCGAACGTGGTGGCAACTGTGAATTAACAAAGTCTGGCGAAACCATCGAAGTTCATGACGTCACGATCCTGGGACCGGAGAATGTTCCTTCAGACATTCCACGTCACGCCAGCCAGATGTATTCCAATAATATCACGACGTTTCTGAAGCTGCTCATCAAAGATGGTGAGGTCAACCTTGATCTGGAAGACGATATCATCGCGGGAACGTTAGTGACGCATCAGGGTGAAATGATTCATCCATTGTGTCGCAAAATCGCAGGACTGCCGGAATTGGCTGCACCATCTGAAGAGAGCGCAGCAGCGGATGAGTCAGCTACTAAGAATGACTCAAGCGATGAACAGGGTTCAGTTGAAGGAACTGTAGAAAATACGAACGACGCAAATACAAATGAGACTGATTCAGCTACAGAGGCTGAGAGCGATCAAGCCCAGTCCTGATTTTCAATGAGACAAAGTAATACTGAGTTAGAAGCACTATTGGGATGCCCCTATGCAAACTCTCCTGGCACTTGAAGAGATCACAATCGAACTTCCTAAGCAGTTCACGGACATGGCACAACAGGTGCAGTCGATGTCATCAGGGATGGCGCTGGTCACAGGACTAACGGTCTTCATGCTGGCGGTTTTTCTCGGGATCGAACTGATCACCAAAATTCCTCCGACATTGCACACGCCGCTCATGTCGGGCTCAAATGCGATTTCCGGGATCACTCTTGTGGGAGCGATTCTGGCAGCCGGGACTGAAAACGGTGGGTTTGCCACATTCCTGGGAGTGGTCGCTGTCATCATGGCGACGGTCAATGTTGTCGGTGGGTTTTTAGTGACGCACCGCATGTTGCAGAAGTTCAAGCGTTAATTCAATCAGCCGTTTCCAGGACTCTTATCTGTATCACTTCCATTGAGGAGGAGTAGTTTTGTCTCCCGTCTGGATTAATGTTTGTTACCTCGTTTCGGCGGCTTTCTTCATTCTCGGGTTGAAGGGAATGACGCGGCCCAAGACGGCTGTGCGTGGAAATCTGTTCGGCTCGATCGGGATGTTGATTGCCGTTGTGGCGACACTGCTCAATGCTCAGGTCGTCAGCTTTATCTGGATCATCATTGGTGTCCTCATCGGTGCCGGCATTGGTGTCTATTTTGCCGTGACCATTAAGATGGAACGGATGCCGGAGATGGTCGCCCTGTTCAACGGGTTTGGAGGGGCGGCTTCTGTCTTTGTGGCTGGGGGGGACTTGTGGTTGCGTCGAGCTAATGAATCTTTCATTTCGACAGACATGATCATTTCAGTTGCCTTGGCCGGGATCATTGGGGCGGTGACATTGACGGGTTCACTCGTTGCCTTTGCCAAGCTGGCTGAGCTTTCCTTTGTGAAGAAATTGAAGCCTCTCCCTTCTCAACAAATTATCAATGCTGCTTTGGCGCTCGTTGTTCTGCTCTTGACTGTCGTGCTCGTCAATAACCCTGGCTCGGGTTGGTACTGGTTGATCGTCTTTGTCGCCTTTGGACTTGGTTATCTACTGACCATTTCAATCGGTGGAGCAGACATGCCGGTGGTGATTGCTCTGCTCAACTCCTATTCAGGGCTGGCAGCAGCTGCGACCGGTTTCGTCCTACAAAACAATGTCCTGATTATTTCTGGTTCGCTGGTAGGGGCCTCCGGATTGATTCTGACCAAGGTGATGTGCGATGCGATGAACCGCTCACTGCCTGCGGTCCTCTTTGGAAGTCTGGGGCCAGCTGCCGATGGTCCTTCCGCTGATGAAGTCTACACCAACGTCAAATCGACCTCTGCTGAGGAGGTCGCGATGTTAATGGAGGTCGCCAGTTCGGTGGTGATTGTCCCCGGCTATGGAATGGCGGTCGCTCAGGCACAACACGCTGTCCGTGATTTGACGAACTTACTGAGAGATCAAGGGATCAAAGTCACCTTCGGCATTCATCCGGTCGCTGGCCGTATGCCGGGGCATATGAATGTGCTGCTGGCAGAAGCGGATATTCCCTATGACTTGCTGAAAGAGATGGACGAAACCAACTCGGAGATTGAACAAACGGATGTCTGCCTGGTGATCGGAGCGAACGATACGGTGAACCCGGATGCCCGGACCAATCCCAACAGTCCGATTGCCGGGATGCCGATCATTAATGCGGATAAGGCCAAGACCTGTATCATCATCAAGCGAAGTTTGAGCCCCGGTTTTGCCGGGATTCCCAACCCGCTCTTTTCCGCAGACAACGCCTTGATGCTGTTTGCCGATGGAAAGCAGGCGGTCACGGATATCATCACCGCGATCAAAGAAGGCTGAGTTTGGCAAATCATGATCGTGCTTAGGAATGACCTGGAAATTACGGCGTCTTTTCATTCAACGCCTATTTGTGGCATTAATGTCGTCCCATAATAGAAGTTGGTAGTGGATAGTTGGTAGTTGGTAGGATTTTGACAAGTAAACTATCGCATGATATGACGCACTTCCTATCCACTACCCACTTCAGGAACAATTGAGACGGTCGCGACTCGACCAACCTGAACATGAAATTTGACTGTTATTGTTCGAATGGCCCTTAGAGAAGTTTGCTCTACTATGTGTCCGCGGTGGACGTCTCTCACCGCAACGAAAACACCAATCCCCGAGACAGAACACGAGACAGATCGCAAACACTGTTATGCAATTCGCTTTAAGTGGTCGGCAAAACTGTTAGCATACGTCGATTGACGCCTTCCCCTTTTGTCCCACCTGAAAATTTATCACGCGAGTATTTTATGTCCCCTAAATTTATTGGATTGTTATTCGCCATTGCGACAGCCTTTTTCTGGGGCTTGTATGGGCCCGCATTAGGGAAATCGAGAATAGACGGCGAAACACCTTTTAAGCCGTATATTTTCATTGGCTTGGCGTACATGATTTGGGGATTTCTGGGAGGGGCAGTCGCTGTTCAAGTTACAGGAAGTGGATTTAAGTTTCCCTTTCAGGCAGGAGTTTGGGGCTTCATTGCCGGCTCGCTGGGTGCATTTGGAGCTTTGACACTGACTTATGCCATGTTCAAAGCAAAAGATGCTTCTCTAGTCATGCCTGTCGTGTTTGGGGGAGCGACTTCTGTAGCTGCGATTACTGGGTTGTTAATGCAACGCCTTCAGCACGGAAAATTTCATCTCGATCCTCGGCAACTCATCGGATTCATTTTTGTGGTGGTCGGAGTTGTGTTAATTCAGAAATACTCGGCCCATGGTCCCGCCCCCGCCAAGCCGATGCCGGCCCCAGCAACGGAAGCGGGCGAACAGTCTTCCGGTGACGAAGCTCATTAGTTCGAGCGATGAACACAGAACAATCAGCCAGAACGCGTTAGCGTCCGGTTCCGTTCACTAGAACCGTGGGCTAACGCCCAGCGGCTAATGTAACAAGCCGGTTTTGATTGAGCATTCAAAGAAAATGAGCCCCGGGTGATTCACCCGGGGCTCATTTCTTTGTTCTAGCAAGAACTCAAACTATTGAATGGTCTTTGGTTCAGCAGCGACTTGAGTTGGCATCAGTCGTTCGGTGTGCTTTTGCTGGAAGTCCATTTTGGAGGCTCCCTGACCGAAGTTGACGACTTGATTCTTTTGAGTCAAATGTCTGCGAACTAACAGCCCGCGATTGAGGTCGATCTCCATCCAGCCTTCTGGTTGTCGCCTGAGAAGCTGCAGTTCCAGTTCAGGATCGTTGAGAGGCGTCAGTACTTTCGTCTTGATGGTAATCATCGCGATCCCACCTTCGACGCTCCGCAGGAAGTAGCGTCGTTGCACGCGGACCATCTGTTTCAACTGAGAATCAGGTAGGCTGATTGGAACAGAAATATCCTCGTTCCAGATCCCGCCGACTTTGATTGGTTTCTCTGGCAGTTCAACCAGGACATCGACCGCCAGATCCTTTGGCTTTTCTGTTTCGTTCAATAGCGGGACCAGCTTGGTCACTTTGCCTGTCGGTGAGATGTTCAGCCGCAAGTGTGGTTTGCCGACCATTTTCGAAATAGGCTGGAACAACTCGATCGGTTTTTTATCGACTCGACTGTCAAAGTCGGCTGCCACTCCATTCTGAAAGAGGTCGATTTCGACCCACTCCATCATCAGTTCCAGTTCGGCAGAGCCATCTTCATTAACTGAAATGACCCGGTAACTCTTGACCGAATCCTGATAAGAATGCGGCTTCTCGGTCACTTCGCCGATGGTCACCTCGTAATCATCGTGCAGCGACACTTCATAGCGAATCACTTGGCCCGGCTGAAATTTATAGCGGAGCAAGTGACCTTCCGCATCGTCTCCCAGAAGCGGGCACTGACGGAAGAACAAACTGGCAGCCATGGTTGCCAGGGTGATAGAAGAAATATTGAACAGTCGCATCGGAGCATCCTTGCTCAGAGTTGCAGGAAAATTGACGGTTTGAGCACCATTTAGCAAATTTCGCCGATCTCTGCGAGGCGAATTTCCGACGCTGAGAATGCTGTTGAGAGAAAGAACTCACGCAAAAACGCAGAGATTTGAGTGGATCAGCTACTCTGGAGCACCTTAGCTGCTCCAGAGTGATTCACAGAAGATTAAAATTGGTTCATCGAATTGTTAATGGCAACGCACAATTCATGATGGAAGCGAATGAGACGTGATCATTCAGTAATGATATCTGACGAAGTCAGGCAACTTGTTCCCCTCACCCAGTCCCTCTCCCCCACAGCGATGACTTCTTTTTATAGGTCAGCACATGGTGGGGAGAAGGGACATATGATTCGTTGCGCTCATGGTATTTTCTTTCACTGGTGTCCTGATTTCTTCACCGTCCAGCCACTAAATTCACAGAAGTACCTTGTTTATAATATTGGAAATCCTAACCATAACATCGACCGATCCGCGTTAGCGGACAGTTCCCGACAAAGAACTGTGGGCTAACGCCCAGCGGCTAACAACGAGAATCTAACTTGAATACGATTATTTCATGGGAGAATCGTTTAGAGAGACACGAACGTTGATGGTTCCCTTGTTATCAACAAGGGAACCCCAGGCATCCTGGCAGCGAAGGAAGAGGTCACCGTCTATGGGAACTGTAAATGGCGTGTCAGGTTCAATTTCAAACGGTTCGCTCAATTCATAATCATTGAAAACGATGCCGACTAACTTCCCTTTTCCTTCTTCATTTCCGGCCGCTGTGAATTTGTCTCCATTTTCTTCAATGGACCATTGGCCGTCGGCGGTAGCGAGATATCTGTTCTCAGTGGCGACTTTGCCTCGGGATGCCTGCCAACCTTTGTTGGCTTGAATACGTGCAAATGATTTGTAGTTATTATTGATCACACGGAATTTCGCTTTCCAGTCCCAGCTGCACAGATCGCAGCGATAGCCTGGTTCCATGTCTTTCAGAAAGAGTTTGTACTCAAATTCAATTTCCTCTGCTTGCGTTCCGTAGACCTGGGCAAAGCTGACGTTCTTGTCAGCCAGCAAAGCGAGCCCGAGCGGCTTGAATCTCGCTGCATAGTTACTGTTCGCCCCTAACATATGGCAAATGACCCACCTCCAGGCGTAGTTCTGCCATGAATCGCCGGTCCGCTCCAGGGGATTGTTGACGATATCACTCAGTGGCTTCGGAGTTTGTGATTGCAGGTATTCAATGACATAGTCGCTGGCGTTGACTCCTCGTTCTCCTGCTTGAAAGTATTTTCCGACCTCAGCCATTCCTTCTGAATACCAGACCGGACCTGTGCAGCCGAAGTTGATCCCGCAGTAGGCATGGATCGCCTCGTGTTGAGGAGTTTTTCGTTTTGAAGTTGCATAGACAATCGCTTCGGAGTCGAGTTTCGGGCCTCCAACAACGCCTAGCACGCGGGTGATGGTTAATCCACCACCAGTCCGGGCGGAATCGACTCCAGCTGCATCCATTTGAGAGAGTTGCTCTGGCGACCAATTCGCAAAGTCGTCGAAGACGAACATGCGAATCGGCATGCGATTGCGGCGTCCCCAATATTGAACGACCAGTTTGAGCATTTTTTCCAGGTCAACTAACAACTCTTCGGCGTCCGCTTTGGGGAGGTCCGTGACAACCCGGAAGTTCTGGCTTTTGTACAGATTGGTGGCTGGTTGGTTAGACCTTGGTTGAGCCCAGAGTGTAGGTGACTCAGAGAGAAATAAGACAACCAGGAAGAGTGTGGTGATGATGATTTTATTACGCATGATGCTGCCCAGTTGCTTGGAAGAATCTGCCTGATTCAGGCACCGTCAATGGGTGACAATGTTTGCACTCTACCCTCTATCAGATTCAGATTCCTCTTCAGATGCAAGCGTATGTTTCGCATTGGCTCCTAAGAATTCTCCTATCTTTCCAAATCGCCCGCTGTGTAACAGGATCAGGTAAGCCGGGACCAACACTGGTCTGACAACGAATGTGTCGAGAAAGACACCGAACGCAAGGGCAAAGCCGAGCTGGACCATCCCCAGCAAAGTACCACTCATCAGAGTCGCGAAGGTGCCGGCCATGATGAGACCACAGCTGGAAATGATGCCGCCTGTCCGTTTGAGAGCAACGAGGATTCCATCGACCGGACCATGACGTTTTTGTTCTTCGAATATACGTGCCATCAACAGGATGTTGTAGTCTTCTCCCATCGCGATCAAAATAGTGAAAAGATAAATCGGGACCTTCCAGTCGATGCCTGTGAAGTTAGCAGGGTCACGCAAGTAGAAGACGATAAATGTCATCCCCAGGGCCACCAGATAGCTGAAGACGACCGTGATAATGAGGTATGCACAGATTGCCGGATGTCTTAGCAGAGCGACCAACATCAAGTAGACAGCGACCACCACCAGAATATCTATTCTCAGGCGATCGCGGTCGGTTGATTGCTTTAGATCACGAATCCCAGATGTCGGCCCCAGTGTGTAGATTTCGGCCGACTCTTGCAGGTCACCGGGGATTGCTTCCTGAACGATTCTTTCGATGTCTCCGAGCTTACGAATCGAGATACGATCAAAGGGGTCTGTGCTAAAGACGAAGTCAATACGCATGACTTGTCCAGCCAGGGGACCTTGCGTGCTGTTGTATGTTTTTTGCTTAAATAATCGCAGAGCCCCACGCTCTCTTAATTTAAGCGATGCCAGGTATTCTTGTGCCTTAGTATTTGTTCCGAGAGGATTTTCCTGATTGCGAATGTCAACGATTCGAAACTCCAAGTTGTTGAAGCGCTGCAGTGCATCTTCAATCCGTTCAGTCATCTCTTCACTGAGCTTCTCCGAGGTTGAGGCATCGGTCAGATCGTCACCCTCATACTTCTGTTGTAACTCCTCACGATTGAATTTGACAAGGATTGTTGAAGGGCCAGAGATCCCTGCTGGGAAATGCTTTTTGATGGCCGCGGCACCTTCCACACTGGTGACATCGCTCGGGAGGTCCGTCAGTAGGCCATAGCTGAGATCACCCTGTTTCACGAATCCATAGATGGCAATGGGGACCATCAGCAGAATCGTCGTTAAGAAGATCGTTCCAGGTGATTTCTTGAGCATCCCAGCAGCGTGGCTCCAAAACAGTTCGAGCCATTTCTGTTCGTTAATTTTCTTCCAAATGGTTTGCGCCGGAAGCCACCCACTCTCCCCCTTCGGTTTTTCAGAAGGAATGTTCGGCCAGAAGGCGATGTTCTTAAGCAGCAACAACATCGCTGGAGTAAAGGTGATGGCAAAGCAGACAGCGACAAACAGGCCGATGGAGATAGCAATGCCAGCTTGTCGAAACTTGCCAAACTCAGCGAAGGCCATCATGCCGATGCCGAAAATACTAGTCCCGGCACTCGTTGCCAGAGCAGCTCCGACTTTGCGAATCGAGCGCGCGACAGATTCACCAAATGAATTGCCTGCATCAAGTTCTTCTTTGTAGCGAGCAATGAGGAACAGGCAGTAATCGACTCCGGCCCCATAGACGACAACCGTTACGTAGATTTCGAGACCATTAAAGAGCCCGATGATTCCCTGGTTTGCTAAATGCGTCAGCAGAGCGAGTGTAAACTCGACCGAAACACCAACGGTGATCAGAGGCACAAGTGCCAGTAATGGAGCGCGGTAGATTAAAAACAGGAGAGTGATGACCAGAAACTTGGTCATCATTTCAGTTCGTTTCGCGCTATCAGACTCTGCTCGCAAGATATCGCGCCCCACAGTCGCAGACCCGCTAACTGCCATTGCGAGACCGATCGGCTTTTCTTGCAACAGTTCAGGAGACTGCAGGAACTCCTCGATGCGGTCTACGATGAGGCCGTTTTGCCTGTCCAGGAACTCAGTTTTCAATTCCAGCACAACCAGGGCGGCCCGTTCGTCAGGGCTGATCAACAACGAACCGATTCTTCTGTCATCCGGAGTCGAAATCGATGTTCCTAATCTCTCACTGGCAGGGATTTCCTGAAAAGTTTCTCCTTCGATCAGTTCGTAACCTGGGGGAGTCGATTCCCGAATCGCTTCCAGACCAGGGACCAACTCCTTGCGGATAAATTCCCGATCTTCCTCAGCGAGTCCTTCTGGTCTGTTTTCTCGAAACAGAACGACAACAACATTACTGCCGAGGGGATCACGTTGAACCGAAGATCCGACCGAGTCATCACCAAAGCGTCTCCCATCTGTTGGGGGGAACGCATCCCGAAAGAGTTGGTTGGCCTGGCTGCTCATCGCTTCTTCGGGAAGGAAGGCCAGCTCCCCTTCTTGCCAAATTCCATGTGAATCAGGAGCGAGACCAATTGCCAGAATAGCCACAGTCAACCAAGCCCCGATCGTGAAGATGGGAAAGCGCGTGACGAGTTTTCCGAGGCCGCGATACATAAGCTACTTGATTGATAGGTGTTGCATCTGTTTTTAAATCGGATGGTGTACAAGGAACATTTTCAGCGAGCCACCTCTTTAAAATACAGTCTCTCGCCGTAATGTCATTTTCAGCAGTTCAATCAACTGGAATCCTGAACGGAATCCCGTACGATGGGGGAGAGATGTTGTCGTTGCAAAAAACAGTATCTTGAACAGATCCAATTCAACTCATGATGAGAACGTAACCGTGAACACCGTTAGGGTCAATCAATCAACCTGCGCTGTTCTCAAGAGACGGATTCGAATAAGAATAAACCCCTCCTGTTCTGCGTAGAATCCGTAAAGTACCATTTATTTAGGAGCCGAAATGGCCTCTCCTCCGCAAAATATCCGTGCTATCAAAGACCAGGGGGTCTTTGAGATTGTCTGGAATGAACAAAAAACGACCCGTTATCCTTTTCGTTTTTTGAGATGTGAATGCCCCTGTGCTGCCTGTGTGAATGAGTTTACGGGAGAAAGAATGCTGGATCCGGCGACCGTTCCCGATGATATTCTCCCTGAAGAAGTTGGGTTCAGTGGAAATTATGCTCTCAAAATTAAATGGACTGATGGACATCACACGGGACTCTTTTCCTGGGACTACCTGGCGAGGCTTGGACAGCACCTCGAAAGTCAAACGAACCAAGTAACATGACAGCTGCCTCTCATCCATTGATCGATTCGTTCGGTCGTATGCATAACAATCTGCGAATCAGTGTCACCGATCGCTGCAACATTCGTTGTTTTTACTGCATGCCTGCGGACAACGTGCAGTTTTTGAAGCGGGACAAATTGCTTACCTTTGAAGAGATCGTCCGTTTTGTTCGAATTCTCGTTCCCCATGGTGTCAACAAGCTGCGCTTAACGGGCGGGGAACCTCTGGTCAGAAATGAACTGCCAAAGCTGGTCAAAATGCTGGCAGAAGTTGAGGGCATCAAAGACATTGGGATCACGACCAACGGGATCTTACTCGCTGAACAGGCAGAAGAACTCTACCAGGCCGGATTAAGACGCCTGAACATCAGTCTCGATGCTCTCGATCCGGTGAAGTTCAAAGAGATCACTCGACGGGAAGGGTACGAGAAAGTTTTAGAGGGAATTGATGCTGCGAAGCGAGTCGGCTTTGATCCCATCAAAATTAACGCTGTTTCCATCCGGGGTGTCACCGATTCAGAGATTATCCCCTTTGGCAAATTTGCTCGTGAATCAGGCTGTGAAGTCCGCTTCATCGAATATATGCCATTGGATGCGGATGCTGCCTGGGAACGGGAGAAAGTTCTCTTTGCCAGTGAGATTGTTGACGTACTGTCCCGAGAATTTCAACCACTTGTTGCAGAAGAAAATCCAGTTCCACGTGCACCTTCAACTGACTATACCTTTGCTGATGGGATTGGCAAAATTGGTTTCATTCCCTCGGTCAGTCAGCCTTTTTGTGAACAGTGCAATCGCTTCCGCATCACGGCCGATGGTAAGTTGCGCAACTGCTTGTTCAGTCTTGATGAAGTAGACGTCAAGGAGCTATTGCGTTCAGATGCTGACGATGAACAAATCATCGCAGCGGTGCAGGAATCCATTCAAGCAAAATGGGCCGGCCATAAAATCAATGCGAAAGACTTTGTACAGCCGAAACGAACGATGCATTCGATTGGAGGATAATAAGAAAATAAATCTCCAAGAAAGGAATGTGAAGAGCAGTTTCTTCTTACAAAACTAAACGGTGCAATTTCAAAATCATGAAAAAGTTGGCAACCCAGTTTAATAAAACATGACAATAGAAGTAGCGAAGATGTTGCTTGATGTTAGTTTTGGGAGGTCTGGACGTGAGCGAACCAAAAATTGAGACTGTTGCAGCCGTTGATCACACAGTGTTGATTTACAACTGGGCGCAAAACAATCGCGATGTCTGTTGGGTGCCTGGCAGCGAACAGGACAAAATTATCCGTCGTTATACCCCTTTTTTGCAAAAAGTAGACAAAGCAATTGGGCGTGCAGATCCTGGTTCCATTGCTTTGTCTCAACTACCTTCTCTGCCTTCTATTGTTCTTGACATGAAGACGATCTCACGCTTGTTGAGCGACTTCGGAATGACGGGTACATTTAAAACAGTTACACGAAGAGGTCGTAGCTACGTTATCTTCAAGGGCTATGCTGGTACACGTACGATTTTTCGAGGGACACGCTATCTCGCTTCGAACCCAAAAGTTGTCAACATGGCAGTTGGTAGAGCTGGCACGAAAGCGATGGTTGCTGGTTCAATGAAAGTGAATTTCATCTGTTTTGTTCCATTCTTTATTATCAATGAGTTGTTTTTCGACGAGAAAGAAGACACCCTCGCTGCACTAGGAGTACGTTTCGCATCGGGAGTGTCGAAAATGGCAATCGCGAGTGCAGTTGCCTTGCTCGTCACTGGTGGAGCTGCCGGGATTGTTGTCGCGGGGGCTGGTGCGGCATTCCTGGTAGGAGTTGGGGTTGCAGTCGCTTTGGAAGCTGTTGACAATTACTTCGGAATCACTAAGGCAATGGAAGAGTATGCAACAGAACTTCAGCGTAAGTTTGAACAAAAAGCAACTGAAACATACGTTGATTTTGAAAAGCAGTTTATTCAATGGATTGAATCACAAACGAACATGTGTATTCCAGTTTACAAAACTTGTTGGTAAGAATCATACATTTGTAACTATCTAGCCTACGGCCAAATGGGGGCGTTCTTTTCTGAATGGAACCAGCGATGCTGAGTTATGCGGCGAACTATTTGTTCTCTGAAAGTGTTCATCTAGTTATTGATTCTGGTCGTTCATCTCTCAACAAGGGTTTGACATCCTTTTTGTTTTTTACAATCCCTGTTGATCCTGCTTGGATTAGCATGCTTGCTACTTCCTGAGTGAATTCTGATCACTTCACTGGACTGTCAAAAACCCCCTAGTTTCGCTAGAGTTTGAGGGCTGATCTACTCAGTCAACATGGGCTCTGTCAGTTCCTACAGCTGACTTGTTCAGGCTTGCTCGATGGTCGTGTCAGAGTCTTCATGAGTACTTATGCAACTTTTCAGTTCTTTAGGAACTGGAAGGAAGAATCATATTGTCCTCTGCAGTGAAGCGGAGAATTCAAGAATCAATCAGGAGAGTTCCTTTATGGATCCTTACGCACCGTGCCCGTGCGGGAGTGGCAAGAAGGTTAAGTTCTGTTGCCAGGCAATTCTTCCCGAGATGGCGAAGATTGAACGTTTGCAGGAAAACAATCAGCCGCACATGGCATTGCAACTCATTGACAAGCTCCTCAAAGATCATCCTGACAACGGTTGGCTCGTGACTCAGCGTGCCATGGCGTTGTTCAATGATGAAGAGTTCGCTGAAGCCCGCGATGGACTCGTTCCATTTTTACGCAATAGTCCTGAGCACCCGTTAGCAAATGCGATGCTTGCGCTCGCTGTTGCGCAATTAGAACCGATTGAAAAAAGCAAAAAGGTGATTCACCGCGCTTTTCTCAAGAGCATGGCAGCGGAACCTCAGTTAGTCGCCATCCTGGCGGGCAAACTGGTCGCACACTACCTGGAGGAAGGCTTCGACATGGCTGCGAGGCAGCACATGGCGATTGTCTTGCGCCTAGGTTCTGATCAGGATCGACAAAGAACACTCATGGCAATGCTGGAACTCGACTCCGATACCAGTGTGCCGTATCCATTGCGGGGAGGGCAGCCGCTGCCAGAGTATGAACCGGCAGAAGGCTTAGAATCAAAACTGAAGAAGGCGCAACGACTTTACATTCATGGTTGCTTTGCAGAGTCGGCGAATATCCTGGAGGAAATGGTCGAAGACGATCCTGCTTCAGCACCGCTGTGGCATACGCTTGGTCTGATGCGAGTCTGGGATGCAGACGAGCAAAAGGCGGCTAAAGCCCTGCATACAGCAGCCGGTTTGTATGACGATTTTGATAAAGCCGTTGAGCTGGAAACCGTTGCTCAGTTGCTCGACCGGCGACAGAAAGAGAATTCGGTTGCTTCGCGGATTGACTCATACAATGTGGAGTCGTTGTCGAAGCTGCTGACCCGTTTGGACAACGAGGATCGGCTTTGTCGAATTCCTCAGATGGAAGAACCGAGTGGTGTCTCGGCATCTTATGACATTCTTGATCGGAATGTTCCGACAGATGACGAACTGAGCGAATTGACTTTGGACAACGCACCTCGCTCAATCGGTCGTTTAACCCTACTCGACCAACAGGATGCGGACTCCAAAGCGACAGCGCATGTCACGGCCATTGAAGGTGAGCGACTGCAAACTTCCATCGAAATTTTTGAGAAAGCTGCCGGCGAACTCGCTGAGAAAATGGAAGATGACGAGGAAGCTGCCAATGACGATGATGTTGTTGCTTGGTATGCAGAAGATGAACTCTCACTGACCGAGTCTGCATTCTTCCCTCCTAAGACCCCGGCCAAAGTGCGGCAGGAACTCAGAAAAGAATTCGTAGAGAAGTGCATTCACGAAACCTGGATGACCACTCCGCAAAAATCATTACAGAATCAGAGCCCGGCTGAAGCCAAAGGAAACGATGAGCTGAAAGTCAGTTTGGCGGCAGCTGTGCGTGTGTTTGATGCGTTTCTTGATCGTCGTGATTTAATCCTCGATCAACATCAGTTGCGAGATGAACTGGGAATTTCCCACCCGCAACCGATTCCACCGGAGGAAGACCTCGATCTCAACACGCTGACAGTTACGCAGCTACAGGACATCAGTTTTGAAGGAATGTCAGACAAGCTGTTTGGCCTGGTGATGCAGCGGGCCTTAGTGATCAAACATTGCGGCTTTGGATACAAAGTCCTCAAAGAGTTCCTGGAGAACCGTCCTGAACTGGTTGACGAGAGCGAAGAAGAAGCTGGTCAGGCCTATGCAAATCTGGCTGATATTTGTAGCCGCTCCTTGCGTGAAGATGAGGCACTCCAGTGGATCGAACAGGGCTTCGCTCGTACTAAGGAAAAGAAC